CTTGGCGTTTTTCTTTTGGGGTCTATCCTATATGGGGTTTGTTGAGCTTCATAGATGGTCAGCTTTTCAACTTTCATGATATTAATATGGGAAGTTTCCTGTCAGCAAATTTTCAAACATCCTCTCTATGTTTGACATTTTCTCTCCCTGTTCTAGAACTCTGATGACGCACAAATTTTTGCTTTTGATTGTATCCCACATCGTTTTCAGGGTTTCTTCATTCTCTTCTCTGATTTTTCCTCAAACAAAATGGTATCCAAGGATTTGTCTTCAATTTTGCTGATCCTGTCCTCCATTGTTTCAAATTTGCTCCTAAAACCTTCTCTTGCACTGTCCATTTCTGACATCTTGTTTATCTTTTGGATTTCTAATTGCTGTTTTTGTATGATTTCTAGTTGTTTATTTTGACGTTTTGTTCCTGTGGCTGCAACAATGTGTTCAAGCATAACAATGATTGTGAGGTTGGCACAGGATGGACAGTGTTTTGTTCTTTTGTACATAGGGTCGCTACGAGTTGGAACTGACTAAACAGCACCTAACATTATTTTCCTGAATTCTTCCACTGCTTTCTCTCTTTTCCCTGATTTTATCCCTTTTTTCCTTATTTTTTGTCTGCATTTTCCTTCATCTCTTGGAGACCCCTGAATAGAGTTTTGAATTCCCTGTCAGGTAGTTCTACTGCCTTTTCTTCTACCAGTAAGTCATCTGGCATTTTATTTTTGTCATATTCTGGAGCTATCCTGTCCTGTTTTTTTAATATGTTTTGATATTGTCTGCTGTGTTTGGGACATTCAGGAATTATTTTCTTCGTTTATTGATTGTAGATTTGTTTGTTTTGTCCTGCTTTTTTTTATTTTGTTATGTCTGAGCAGGTAGGCTGGGCATGCTTTGTTCTTGTTCATCTGTGGGCATAATACTTCCCACCACCTTGTCCAGGTGGGCAGGGCCGGTTGCTCAGCTATGGTGCAGCAGGGAAGGTCTAGCAGGGGGGAGGGGTGGGGATGGGTCATTTGCAGCACTTACTTGGGCCGATGTGGCGGGGCTGGGGGGCATCAAAGGGCGGGGTCTGGTAGTCTGTGCTGGTACTGCTCAGGGAAATGGCGCTCAGTGCACGGTGCACTTGCAGGAGGAAAGGGAGAGGATGTGATTTATGGAACTAAGTGGGTGAGAGAAAGAAGACAGAGAAACAGAAGAAAAAAAGAAAAAAGTAAATAAAATGGTGGCGCAGTAGGATTTGGTGGGTGGGGGTGGGGCAGAACCAGTGAGGCCGTGTGCCAGTGGCTCTCTAGCCAAGCAGTGCAACTCAGCCTGTCAACAAGGGGTGCAGGTGGCACACAAGGCTAGCTGGGCAGAAGAAAGGAAAGAAGTCGAAAAGGGACAAGAAACAACAACAACAGCAATCTAAAAGAAATAATTATGGTGCTGAGGGAGCTGGCCATTGGAGGCGGGGTGGAATTGGGGTGGCAGTGAACTGATGTCTTTCTTGCCAGGCAGCATGGCATGGTCTGTCAGGAAGGGGCAGAGGCAGCACAGGGCCTAGATGGGAGGGAGAAGGAAAAAGGAGAAGGGGGAAGATAAAGAAAAATTAAAAATGTGGTGCAAGGGAGCCAGCCTGTGGGGACAGCACAGACTCGGGAAATCATGTGCCAGAGGTTCTCTAGCCAAGCAGTACAGCACAGTCATTGGGGGTGGGGCAGCACATGGGGTTAGGTGGGTGGGAGAAAGGAAAGGAAGGGAGAGAGAAGAAACAACAACAACAAAAAAGCAATAACAAACGAACAACAAAAAAATGTAGCTGAGGGAGCCTGCTGGTGAGGGCAGCGCAGACCCGGGGAGGCCATGTGCCAGTGGCTCTCTAGCCAAGTGGTGTGGCTCAGCCTGTCAAGAAGGAACGGGGATGGCACACAAGGCTAGGTTGGTGGGAGAAGGGAAAGAGAGAGAAGAAACCAAAAAATAAAATGACACTGAAGGAGCTTGCCAGTGGGGGCAGCATGGACCTGTGGAGGCTGTGTGCAGGTGGCTGTCTAGCCAAGTGGTGTGGGACAGCCCATGAGGAAAGGGCGGGGATGGCACACATGGCTAGATGGGCAGGAGAAAGGAAAGGAAGGGAGAGAGGAGAAACCGGAAAAAAAGAAAAAGGTGCTGAGGGAGCTTGTCGGTGGGGTAGTGTGGACCCAGGGAGACCGTGTGCCAGTGGCTTTCTAGCCGAGTGGTGTGGCATAGCCTGTCAAGAAGAGGCGGGGACAGCACATGGGGCTACGTGAGTGCGAGAAAGGATAGGAGGGGAGAGAGAGAGAAGAAACCAAAATAGAAAGGTGCTGAGGGAGCCTGTTGGTGGGGTGGCGTGGAGCCAGGGAGGCTGTGTGCCAGTGGCTCTCTAGCCGAGCAGTGTGGCACAGCCTGTGAAGAAAAGGCAGGGACAGCACATGGGGCTAGGTGGGTGGGAGAAAGGAAAAGAAGGAAGGGAGAGAAGAGATGAAACCAAAAAAACACAAAATGGTGCTGAAGGAGCCTGCCGGTGGGGATGGAGCAGACCCAGGGAGGCCGTGTGCCAGTGTCTCTCTAGCCGAGTGGTGTGGCATAGCCCATCAAGAAGGGGTGGGAATGGCACACGGGGCTAGGTGGGTGGGAGAAAGGAAAGGAAGAAAGGGAGACAGAAGAAACAAAAAAAAGTGCCCTCCCAAAAAATGGCACTGAAGGAGCCAGCCAGTGGGGGCAGGGCAGACCCATAGTGCTCCTTGCTCTCTGTCATTTTCATTTTCTTATTCCTTTGAGTGCTTGATCTAGATCTTTATCCCTTCATTTGACACTTAGGGTTCCAAGATTGATGTTTGTATCTGTTTTATTTAGGTTTTCAGGTCTTTGCTGTAGAGGGACGGCATGGTGCTTGTCTATAGCGCCATGTTGGTTCCACCTCTCGGTGGTAGAATTCTTGCCTTCTATGTGGGTTTAATTCCCAAGGAATACACCTCATGTGCAGCCATCACCGGTCTGTCGGTGCAAAGTTGCATGTTGTCATGATGCTGAATAGGTTTCAGGGGAACTTCTAGACTAAGGCAAACTAGGAAGAAAGGCCTGGCAATCTACTTCCAAAAAACAGCCAATGATAACCCTAAGAACACAGTGGTCTGATCCACAACTGATCATGGGGATGGCACAGGACTGGGCAGTGTTTCGTTCCACTGTACACAGGGTCTCCTGAGCCGGGGGCCAATCTGACAGCAGCTAATAATAATTCAATCCATAGCATGTATGGATAATTGTTGTTGTTGTTAAGTGCTGTTGAGTTGGTTCCGACTCATAATGACCCAATGTACAACAGAACAAAACACTGCCTAGTCCTGCACCATCCTCACAATCATTTGTTTGTGCCCATTGTTGCAACCACTATGTCACTCCATCTCATTGAGGGTCTTCCTCTTTTTCACTGACCCTCCTCTACCTTATCAAGCATGATGGCCTTCTCCAGGGACTAGTCTCTCCTGATAACATGTCCAAAGTATGTGAGATCAAGTCTCGCCATCCTTGCTTCTAAGGAGCATTCTGGCTGTACTTCTTCCATGACAGACAAGGAAGACCAAAGAAGAATTGATGCATTTGAATTATAGCATTGGTGAAGAATGTCAGATATACCATTGACTGCCAGAAGAATGAACAAATCTGCGTTGGAAGAAATTTGCACTGTATAGATAATAGGTATGGATATTTTTTTCTCCAGGTGAATTTTAAGATGACACCTAGCTTTAAAAAAAACATCCAATTGGGACTTTGATTGGAATGCCAGTAAATTTATAGATTGATAATACAGTAAAATTACAGATAATATATAATAGATTGAGAACTTTTTGCTGGAATCACTTCCCCTGGAACATGTCCATTCTTTTCATCACGACCATTTTTCTCATTTGTGTTAATTTTGTCTTCACTAAGTTTTTCAGGCTGCATATACAGAACATACCAAACAACAGCAGTGCCAACATTCCCATGGTCAGCTATTTTTTCTAGAAATCTATTTCTGTTCAGAAGTCCAAAATTTCTTACCAGGCTAAAGTCAAGGTGTTGGTAGGGCTGTGTTTCTTCTGGAGGTTCTAGGGGAGAATCCATTTCCTTGCCTTTTCCAGCTTCTAGAGGCTGTCTGCATTCCTTGGCTCGTGTCCCCTCTTCCATCATCAAAGCCAAGGGTGTAGCATCTTTGAATCTCTCTCTGACTCTGTTTCTGACCCTCCTGCCTCCCTCTTACAAGGACCTTTGTGATTACATTGGAACCCCAGAGAATCCGGCATAATCTTTGCATCTCACATCTGCAAAGTATTTGATCAAACAACTGGGCACCATAGCCTAGCCAAGTTGACACACAAAAATTAACTATCACACATGGTAACTGAAATCTGAATTGTGTTGTTGGGGGACTACTGGTATTTAACTAAACTGGGGTAACTGGAATTTGTGCACATCTGAACCATGGAAAGTGAAGATTGCTTGTTTTAATTTCAGCTGATGGGTCAAAAAGGATGAGACAATGCACGTGGCTACACACACAGGGCCACCGCTGCAGAAAACGAGGTGGAAATGGCCTGTATGTTGGCCTCAGGTTTGGAGAACACTCACAGGAAAATATATTCAGCTTTCTCTTGTGCTGGATGTCAAGCCCCCAGAATAATGACAGCACTACAGCTTTTCTCTCTGAGAAGCACGAGAAAAGTGACTATGGTAAAAACTCAAGAAATGATGATATAACTTCTCTCTTACCTCTGTCATCTTCTGCCCACCAAAAAAAAACAAAAAACAAGAAACAAAACAGAAAGCTATGCACTGAGTCTTTGCACTAATACTCAACTACTGATAGTGTCTTACACTTTATTTATATAGCAAATCTCTTCTTTATTCTGATTAATGAACAAAGAGTTCTTCTGATAACTGATTATGAAATAATAGGCACTTTCTATGTGGTCAGATATTTTTGAGCAATATGCAGAATAAGTAAATCGGGGGCTTAGGTTTCTGATACTCTTAGATCAAACACAATTAAAATAAAGAAAAAAAACTGAACTGCTGATGTAAAGTTTCTCAGAAATTCATTTTATTTCAACAGAAAAAGGTCAGTTCACCTCTGACCGGGATTACAAAGTACAATCTTTTCAGCGTGGGTATCCTCATCAGGCCACAAACATCAAAAGGGGCCCTAAGGACTGGTAAGGGGCGCTTTCCTTCTCTGGCAGCATTACATTAAACTGCAATAAAAACACCTGATCTCACAGAACAGGGTATCTCTTGAAGAGGTGTAGCTTATTTTATAATACATAAATATTCCAAATACACTCAGTTTACAAACTGGGGAGGGAATGTAAGAAGAAACAACAGCATTTCATGAGCATTCATTCTCAGACTCCATCCACATCAAATCTTACTATTTCATAGAATTCATAATTTATCAGCCAATGCTATTTAAAAATAGTACTTCTGTAGTCTTAAACTGACGTGGAGAAAAATCACACTAGCCTGGCCCTAGTGGTGTTAGTGAAGCCAAACCCTTCCTGCCTATGGCTCCTGTTAGAGTCTACACCCTGGGCATCTGAATCCTGGTCAAGAGGTAGATAAGGGCCTGAAAATGCCCCTGGGCCAGCAGCTCCTTTTTCCTCATGCTCAACCCAGACAGATGAGGACCCAAAATGCTAAGTGCATATTTCAAGCTTGTGTTCTGAATCTGTGTAAAGCCACAGTAAACTATAAAGGGCAATTGCACGGATACTCTTTCAGAGTGAGTATAATCACTAAACTTGGTATTTCACCTCCAAAATAAAATTTTTTTTACACTACAGAGAGTGGAACCTGATACATATTTTGAAATTATGACTTTAAGATTAACATCCTAAATCCATCAAGCCTCAGTGGTTTGTTTTCACAAAGTACATTAAAGTGCAATGTCTATTTTTGCCACGTGACTGTACCTTCTGCTTCCCCGGGAAGCCTTACTCAGGGGCACGATCACACATCAAAGTCCTTCAGCTCTCCCCAGCTGGCACCTATTTTCACTTTAACTTTCAGTTTCACAGAAAGCTTTATGGCACTTTCCATTTCGGTCTTGACAATCTGAGTTACCTACAAAATAATAGTAACAAGGTTAACAAAGTCTCTGTCCAATCAAAGAAGAATGCTCCCTAGCCCACCCACTGAGAAGGTGAGAAACCAGATTGGAGCCCTTACCTAATGGTGCTTAAAGCCAGAAAACAGCCAGACATCCCAAACTCTGGCCTTTATTGATGGGCAGGAATTTCTTACAGTTTTAGCGAGAATGCTCAGAGATCTGAAACTCTTAGGTCAAGATTCCAAATTCTCATCTGATTTCTCCCAGGCAAAAGCATCTCTGGCATCAGGAATTTCTTGTTTAAGAAGGAGCATGGAACTGAGCTCTCTTAGCTCCTCAACAACTGTAAGGACTCAATATTCATATGGTCATCCTAGGGTGAGGGTAGGGTTTTAGAAGCCTCACACATAGGGTAAAAAGCTGTTTGTCTGGCTTACAGTGTCTTAGTTTCCTATGTAATGAACACACACACTGCAGAAATACCTGAACAACATCCTCTACTGCCACTTCGTATAAGAGTTCGTCATGGAGCTGAAGGATGAAGAAGCCCCCTCGGATTGGGCAGAACATCCCTGGCAGTCGTCTCTTTGGTAACAATCCTGCCCCACAGAAAAAGCAGCAAAACTGATCAGCATGCCACTGTGCCACAGAAGTTTTCAGAATTTCTGAGAAACTCTGGGAAATTTTAATTAAGAGATTAAAATGCATAATAATAATAATACGCAAAATAACTACTTACTGGCTGCTACCTCGTCCACCCATCAGGTAAACTCAAATCCCCTTCAACTGCCTCCCTGAAAGGAGTCAGTAAATGGAGTGTAAAAAATTCTGCTCCAAACTCCAGCCTAACTTATTTCTCACAAACAATCAACATCTCATCTTCTCTTACTATGTAGTCCCCCTGCCTCTGTATCTGAATAATAGCACCCGGGTAGTTTGGGGCCTGACTCCAAGTCCAGCAAAGTGAACTGGTATTGTCATTAAGCATATTTTATAAGGGGGACACTTGCTGTTGTTGTTTTATGGCCTGAAGTGTCACTTTGGTAGAATTGATGTTTCCCCAATTGGACCATCCACTCTAGGCAAGCAATTCTAAACCTAGGGTCCAAAATGTAGACGCCAGAGAGTGAAACCCTTGAAGTTATATGTAAGTCTATGCATGTACATTTCCTGTGAGATGATCCATGCCTTTCAGTAGATTCTCAGCAGAACCACGTAATGTATTTAATTTCCATTTCCTAACTGGCTGGGCCTCGCAGGACAGATCATACCCCTCCAACCACTAAGATAAAGTTTCACACAAATGCCTTTTGAATGGCTGTCTTTACCTGTCTGCCCCTATCTCACAGCGGTTCTTCCTTTCTGCCATCCAGTCTTCCTACTTATCCTTCAGGCCCAGCTTCCCAGGCCTAGTGCTTCCCTCAGAGAGAATTCCTTTCACTGTCACTGAATGAAGCCCAAGTTTGCTCAGAGGTGTCTCTGTCTCACAAGGTAAGAGAACAAAGACAGCTGAGGCTAGGGCAAGCTGCGTTCATACAGGGCTGCAAAGGCTGTACGTCCATTTCCCAGTTTGGCTGAAATCTGCCCTATTGGGTCCCACTTAGCTCACCTCGCTGACTGTCTGGATGCTGTAGCTTTTCTGCCTTCTGATTATCACACCTTTGGCCTCTTGATTCCCTTGGAGACCTAGCTTCTGGCCCAGAATGCCTTGACAATCCTGTTCCTTGTGTGGTCTGCTTCCTCAGACTCACCTCCCTTTAGTCCCACTGACCTGCTGCTACCTTTAACCCAGCATGACACCATGAAGTCATCCTCAGTGACCTATCCACATTGCCTTCAACTCACTCTTAAGGTTGTTACTGTCTGTATCTTCATTCTGACACTCCATCACTCTGCTGTGAGGATGTATGTAAATATTTCACAGTCAGGTATCATATTTTCCCTTCTTTTCCTTAGCAGATTTTAAATTTAAACATTGGTGGATCGTTTTTACTTCTAAATTCCCCAAAGTACACAGCAGAGTGTTACTCCCCAAATAAGTTTGATCATACATACTCTCTCTCTAAATATATAAGTATATATGTGAATAAACATATACCCACATATAACCCTACATACAAAATGTTTAACAAGCAGCCTCTAATATATTTTTTTCAGGATTGAAGACAATATAATTAACAATCCTTATTTAATGGGCAAATAGGCTTTTGTATCTATGCATTTTTGCGTATGAGTGGGCATCTTTATGTAATTAGCTGCATTATTCTCTAACCTATATGTATATGTCTTCTGGAAATAGCAAACACCATACCCAACAGCTGATCTCTGCCTTTTCTGCCCCATCTCCAGCACATTATTCTTCCCCTTTTTGCCTCAAACCTTCTTAGCTCTTCCCTGGAAAATTTAAAATACAGCTGCAGTCAGGGTTTGACAACAATCTCAGTGACAGTGAAACAGTATTCAAAGAGGGAGTTTGGGCATTTGATGGACAAGGAAGGAGGGAAATGTCTGTGTACTTGTTAGGACAAGAAATGATCTAGTCAAGCAATAAGGAGAGAACTTAGGAAAAAAACTTTGGAAAGAACAGAAAAAAGATGACAATATCAGCAAAGGAACGTATGTGACAAGGAGGTCACCTCAGAGAATATTCCCTGACTTCAGAGAACACCATGGGTCATGAATAGAAAAATCCACATGTTTCTTAAAGTGTAGTCTGAGGACCATAGAGGACCCCTGAGACTCTTTCATTTGCAAGGTCAAAACTAGTCTCATAATAGAGCTTATTTTCCTGTTTTACTTTCATTCTCTTCTAAGTAAGAGACCAACAGTCTCTGATTTAACACTAAAATTCCCACATCCTGAGAAACTCCTCAGTCCCCAGCAAATGGGACAGTTATCACCCTAGATTGTATGAAGGGTTTTCCAGAAGCTATAGGGCATGTAATATCATAAGTGATTGAATGAAGAAACATATAAAAGAATTTGGCTGTCTTCTCTTAAACCAGATGATAAAGAAATTTGCAAAAATGAAAAACAAAGCCATTCTTACCACTAATTTTCTTTTGTTTTGGAAAATGTAATTATTTTCATAAAAATATGTTATTTATGTTAATGTATAATAGATTTATTATATTTAAAATGTTAATAAATATTGTTAAGTTCTCTCAGTTTTAATTTCTAATATGATAAGTATTAGTAGATATAACTCACATGAACAGAAGCTCTTTGGGATTCTTACTAATTTTATAGAGTGTAAAGACATCATGAGACCAGAACTTTTGAGAACTGCCATGCCAGAGAAATAAAATATAAAATACTTCCTCTTTTCTTTTCTGATACAAGTATTTTCACCATGTTAAGAGTACGGGCCTCGTTTATGAACAAACCTCTTCTGTCACTCTGGAGGATTCCCTCCCGATGACCATGGGATTTGAAGGTTGAGTGGAAGGTCTCCAGTTGCTTCTGAATGTTAACTGTGGCTATTTTGACAATATCAGCCGCTGATCCTTGGACTGTTGTGTTGATAGCCTGACGCTCAGCCTATGAAAAACAATAGCAGGTATTCCATGAGGGACACCAGTATGGTCTCATACCTGCTCTCAGTGGCCACAGAGCAGAGCTCACACCTGCAGCCAGAAGGGACATCTGGACTGAGATGTGCCCCCCAACTCCTACAATTATGTTGTACCCTAAGAATAACAACTATAATGATCTGGGGTCTAGACTCTGGGCTCTCCACATGAAGACAGACCAAATATAAGAAGGTCAGATTGCTTCAGTTTAGAAATCTTAAACATTCAGTTAGAATTTAAAACCGTACTGCACTTAGAATGTATTTAGCAGCCCCAAATTTTGTTATAAACATCTATCATCAGTATTCTCGCTATTTTGAACTTCACTGTAATGGATTTATTCCTCAAAATACAACTCCTATTAATCCTAAACAGATATAGGCACAGAATCATTCTTTGTGATATGGGCTGGGAAGTTCCAAGCATATCCCCCATACCAATGGCCTCTTGGTACTGTTCAGCGTTTGGCCCCAGCAGGCCTGGAGCCCTCTCTTATACATCAGAGCTTTTCCTGGACTGCTGGGCCTAATTATTAGCTAGTAGTTAAAATACTGATCCTGGATCCTGGGTATTAAGTTAGAACTTTCCTGAAATCACTGCTGCCATGAGTTTCTTGGCAGGCAACCATGGCTGCTAAAAGTAATCATCCTAGGAGTACAAGTGTGGGGGTCTGGGTTAATATACAAGGTGTGACCTACCTATGAATATCACCCCTAGTGCCCAAAAATGCCTCAGAAAATGGAAAGGATCTACTCCAGGGAAGGTTCTATACAACTTGAGGGGTGTTCTTGAGTTCCCTGCCACCTGGGCTACACCCAACCTCTGGTACATTAAATACCTGATAAAGAGATAGTCTTTTATTAACTGCTGTTTTGTCAAATGTTGATGAATCCATTCCAAACTCACTCAGTTGTCATACAGTGACTAAATGTCAGAGTTCTGCTCACTGTATTCCTTTGTGTATAGATTGGATTATTGTTCCTATTACTTGCTGCCTTTCTCTGGGGAATCACACAGCCCTATCCATTGCCAGTGATTTGAAATGCTGTTCCTTATAAAAGGATGGCTTTGACTTGCTTTGGTCAATGAAATGTGAGTAACACTGACATATAGCTCATCTAAGAAGTTTTAAGAGCTATCCAACACTGCCACAAGAAAAGGTATATTCCAGACAGGGGCTTTTCCTTCATTCTGAAATCCATAATGAAGACAATATGCATGAGAGCCACAGTCAACCCAGAGCCAAACTGTAACACGAGCAAGAAATAAAGCTTCTTATCATATGCCACTGAAATTTGGGGGCTGTTTTGACTGTGACATAAGCCAGCAAAAATATGACTAAGAAACTTCACTCTCATGATATTGGACCTCTTGATTTTCTTCCAAATTAAGAAATCTTGGGCAGTCTTTTTTGTGTCCCAGTCTCTGCTTTGTGTTCCGCAAAGCAAAACCTGTTGGTCATCAGGATTTTTCATCTATATAAAGAGACTATATTGGCTTCTGGTAATGGACGATTAGGCCATTGGGACCAGCCCTCCCACTAACAACAAGTGGAAAAGCTGGACAGTATATAAAAATATCTCTTTGAATGAATCAGACAGCTTAAAAGGAAGTGAAGAATTATAGGACCCAGAGATCTAGGAGAAGTAGGAGAGGAGAAAAAGGAGAACAAGGGTGGTGATCCTGGCACTGAGGCTGCCATTTCTCTCAAAGGAATCAACAGATTCCTGAAGAGGCAGCTGAGAGGCTGAGAAGCTGAACAGAGTCTCTGATAGTCTTGAGAGGCTTGGGGAACAAACATTTGGGTTCAGGGCCAAACAAAAAGTGGAGGGAGGCCTATTAAACCATCAGGGTGTGATCCAAAAACCAATACCCTAGGAAAAAAGATAAAACTGGACATAGACTGGTCCTAACAGCCTTGCTTCAAATCATCTCTATTCCTGAAGTTGGATCAAAGTGATCCTATTTGTTGGTCATTCTAGTCTCTTGCCAAAAGCATTTAAATGTAAATCCTCTCTGAATAAAAGTAACATCATCATACAGGCTTCAGATCATTTCTACAATCTTTCATAGTCAATGTTTGGCACTTAGTAAAGAATAACTAGGACAACAAGGAGTTGAGACAATATAACCGTTTTTGCAGAAAACTAAGAAAAACAAAAGTCAAAAAGAACAAATTACAGGAATACAAGATACAATATTTATCAGACTACAGGCTATTATCAATCTTATTAGACTATAAAATAATTATGCTTAACATATTCAAGAAAATAAAAAGACAAAATTGAGTATTTCAGCAGAGAACCAAATACCATAAAATATCAAAATGGAAACTCTAGAACTGAAAAATAAAAAATAGCAGAATTTAAAAGCCTAATGGTTAGTTTCAACAGCAAAGTAAAGAGTTAATCAGTAAATGCAAAGAACCAAGAATAGTCAAATATTCTTGAAAAAAAAAGGTAAGAAAATTTACTCTACCAAATATCAAGAATTCTTACAAAGCTTCATAAATTAAGACAGTGTGATACTGTCTCAAGGATGAGCAAATACAACAGACCCAAATCAAGTGTCCAGAAACAGATATATTTGGAAACTTGATTTGTGGCAAAGGTAGTACTACAGAGCAGCGGGGGTTAGATCAGTCTTCTCAGTAAATAGTTTGAGGCAACTATTTGAGTTGAGTAAAAAGTTAAAAAAAATGTTGAGTTGAGTAAAAAGATAAAAAAAAGAAAAAAACACTTGACCCCAATCTCACATAACATAAAAATGAATTCTTGGCTGATTGTAGATATAAATGTAAAAGGCAAAACCAAAAAACTTCTAGAGAATATCTTCTTGATGTTGGGATACAGAAGACTTTCTTAAACAGATCAAGGAAAGCAATGGATGACAGAAAACATTGATAAATTCATGTAAACAAAGGGCTCGATCAGGAATATATAAAGAACTACCATAAATCAGTAAGAAAAAGGCAGATAACTCAATTAAAAAAAAAAAATAGAAGACTTAAACAGGCCTTCACAAAAGACATCCAAATGGTCAATAAACACATGTCAGAGGAGCTCAGTCAGCATCACTAGTCAGCAGGGAAATGCAACATACCTACCGGAACGGCTAAAATTAAAACGACCAATGATATCAAGTAATGGCAAAGATATAGGGTCATACGCATAGCTGGTGGGAATGTAAACTAAGATAACCACTTTGTAAAACTGTTAGGCAGTATGTACGCAAGGTGAAATACACTTACTCTATGGCTCAGCAATTCCGCTCTTAAGTAGAGAAAATGGGCTCATATGTTCACCAAAAGCCATATAAAATAATGCTCATTGCAGCTTTATTAATAATAGCCCAAAACTGGAAATAACCAAAATGTCTGTCAACTGTAGAATGGCTAAGTAAACGGTAGTATGTTCCAACAATGGAAAATTATTCAGCTAAATGAAGAACGAACTATAGCTACACACAATATTGATGAATCTCACAGAACTAATGTTGGATGAAAAAGCTTGACACAAGAGTCCATATGGCATGACTGCATTAAATTAAAGTTCATACAAAGCTAACCTATAGTTTTCTGTGTGTGTGTGTAGATGGAATAGCATTGACTTAGAGTGAGCATAAAGAAGTCTTCTGGGGTGCTGGAGAAGTTCTATATCACGATTTTGATGGTTATACTGGTATATTAAAAAATAAACTAAAAAAAAAAAACCAAACCCTTTGCTGTCGAGGCAATTCCAACGCTACCTGATAGGACAGAGTAGAACTTCCCCATAGGGTTTTTAGGAGTGGCTGGTGGATTTGAACTGCCTAACTTTTGGTTAGCAGCCTGCGCTCTTAACCACTGCACCACTAGGGCTCAATATGTAAAAACTCAAGCTTTACACTTAAGATTTGTGCCCTTTACTGCAAGTATCTATTTCTCAAAAGAAAAATGTTAAGAATAAGCAAAGTTAATAACCTCTCCTCATCTGAAGTTACTAATAAAAGAATGAAAAGTGAAGACATAGTGTGGGAGAGAATATTTTCCACACATGTAACCAATAACAGGCTCCTATAAATCAATAATAAGAAAGCAGATGTGATGCTTAAGATTGTGTGTCAACTTGGCTAGGCCATAATTCTCAGTGGTTTGGCAGTTGTATGATGTTGTGATCACTTCCATGTTGAGATCTGATGTAATGTGATCACCCCATGATGGGATCTGCTGTGAGTAGCCAATCAGTTGAAAGGAAGTTTCCTTGGGCGTGTGGCCTGCATCAAATATAAGTTGACATTCTGGCAAGGCTTGTGGGCTTTTGCTCACTCTGGATCCTGCAGCTGGCTCCTGTTCGTCTGACCTCCGGTTCCTGGGACTTGAGCTAGCAGCTTAGCTGCCATCTTGCCTGCTGATCTTGGGATTTGTTGGTCTTCACAGCCTGTGAGCAAGAGCCCTGCTGTCTGACCTGCTGTTCTTGGATTCAGCCCCTGTGGCTATATAAATCAGGGGAAGCCTCCAGCCTGACCCACGGACTTGGGACTTTCCAGTCTCTACAACCACATGAGCCATTTCCTTGATATAAATTTCTCTCTATATATATATTTATATGCTTTACTAGTTTTGCTTCTCTAGAGAACCCAGCCTAAGACAGGAGACAACCTAATAGAAAACTAAACAATAAAACTTGAAAAGGTACTTTAGCAAGGAAAAAAAATGGCTAATAACCATTTGTAAAGTTGCTCTATCTCATTAGTATTTAAGAAATGCAAATTAAAACTTCAAAATACTTCTTTAATCCCACCAAAATAGCTAAAATTATATTGACTGACAATAGCAAGTGTTGGCAAGGATACAGAGCAATGAGAACTTACCTACACTTCTGATGGGAAGACAAATTGCTTTAGCCACCATGAAAAACAATTTGGCTGAAGACAAGCATATCCTATATCCAGCAATTCTATGACAAGGTCTTTATCAAACATAAATGCATGCACATGTACACCAAGAACCTTGGATGAAAATATTCATATCAACATATCCACAATCTCTCCAAACAGTAAAACTAAATGCTCATCAACAAAAAAATAGATAAATTGTGGTATATTTATATAATAGACCATAGAGCAAGAAAATGAACACTCTATATCTATGTGAAACAACACAAAGGACTCTTGCCTACATAATTTTGAGTGAAAGAAGCTAGACAAAAGAACTCATAATGCGTGATTTATATAGCACTCAAAAGTACACAGTACAGAGCTATAGGGTTCGAAGTTATGATAGTAATTTCTAGGAATGTGGTGAGTGGTGAGTAGGAGAGGCATGAGGGAGGCTTCTGGGAGCTGACAATATTCTATTCTCGACTTGGTGGTGGTTACACAGGTATAGTTCTGATAATTCACTGAAATGTACATTTGTCTTCTATACTTTCTCTCTTGGTGTTTTTCAGTAATACATAAGTTCAAACAAAAAGTCAAACCAAGCAAAACAAAACTGAAAAATAAATCTGGCTACGTTTACTCTATTCCTAATTCAGAGGGCTAGGAATTTTATTTCTCAGCAACAACACAATGAATTAGGTAGAACTTTGATTCTTAAGGATTTTGCATGAAAAAAGTACTACTCTCACATCTTTAGGTATAAAAATACTAGTTTTCACGAAATTGTATGGTGTATTAGCATTAGTAACTCTATACTCCATTTTTCATCATGTAAATCCCAAGAAACAAATCAACTCCTGTTAGATTAAGTCCTAATTCCTCAGACTGCATTAAAAGCCTTCTACCAGCTGGCTCCATCTGGCTGATGGAAAACTATCTACCACTAAGGGTCAGCTCCAACTCTCCAATCCTATCAGGTGGGCTTCTAACCACTCCTCACTCAAACTGTTACCCACTTGTCATTGTCTTTTTCTCATTCCCAACAATCTAAACTTTAAATTGCCTTCAAGAATCTCTTCAAGTCCTATCTCCTCCCTGAAGCCTAAATAATTGACTATATAAATCCATTGCCATCAAGTCGACTCTGACTCATAGCGATCCTATAGGACAGAGTAGAACTGCCCCACAAAGTTTCCAAGGCTGTAATGCTTACAGAAACAGACTGCCACATCTTTGTCCTACGGAGAAGCTGGTAGGTTCAAACCACTGACCTTTCAGTTAGCAGCCAGGTGCCTAACCACTGCACCACCAGGGCTCATTAATGAGTATACATATGATGTTATTTTTTATATATTTTTATAAATATTCTGAAGACTTATTTTTCCTAGTGCATTGACTACAGCGGCTAGTTCTCTTGGAGATCTAGTAAAGCCCTGAGCACATGGGAGGCTAGAGAGTAAAGAAATAATAAAAAGCCAACTAATCCTCCATGGTACCTAAGAACATCAATGCTGAAAGCTTCTTGTTTCCAGGCAGAAGTTTAAGGTGTTGGGGCGGGGTATTTCCATTATGTACCATGGGTACCAAGCACTGACATGCAGAATTATGGGGGAAAGCGAGAGAATACAACCAGTTAAAACAGGAATATTTGAACTATAACAGAAGCTTGAATGTTCAGATACATAAAATACTTGTATGAATCTCAATGATTTCAGAAATGATTTTAATCATAATTTTAAGTAAATATCATCAAGAAATCTTTAAAATGATGTTAAAAATAGCCCTATTTAATATTTTGTGTATCCTAATAACCTTTGATGAGATATTGCTTTTAAAATAAAAATAAAAGTAGAATGAAAAGAAAAAAGTAGAATGAAACAAAAATATCACAATATAATGATTTACTAATCTCCAAGGAACATTAGCAATCTGTTATGATATGGCAAACGAGTACCTGGTATCTGAAACAAAGAAAAATTAGCAAAAGCAAGAATTAAATTATTCACAACTTACAACAAAGCTAATAAATAACTGTTTACTGAAACAGAACTTCTTTAACTAAAGTATTATTAAATAAACCCATGTTAGAACATGTGGCTAATTGCCTTCATGAACAACTGCATCCTCTGCCATGAGACCAGAAGAACTGGATGGTACCTGGCTACCATTACTGAACATTTTGATCCAAGATTCCATAGAAGAATTCTGATCAAAAAGGGAAAAATGCAGAACAGAATTTCAAATTTTCATGGACTCCAGACTTTCTGGAGCCATGGAGGCTAGATAAACTCCTGAAACTACTGCCCTGAGATAACCTGTAAACCTTAAACCAAAAATATCCCTGAAGTCTTTTTAAAACCAAACAATAGTATAGCTTAACTACTAAAAAAAGGTCTGCCTTGAGCATTGTGCTCTTTTAAGAACTATCTATATGGGATCAAAGTGACAACAGCAACTCAAGAGATTGGAAAGGAACCTTAGGGGGCAGTGAGTTTATGTTAATGAGGGAAGAACAACTCCAAAAAGGAGGATGAGAATGGTTATACAACTAGAAGAATATAATCAATGTCATTAAATGGTACAGGTAGAAACTGTTGAATTGGTATATGTTTTGCTGTCTATATTCTCAACAACAAAATGACATTTAGAAAAATAAATAAATAAACCCATGTTTAGATTAGTCTCCCAAAGGCTGTGTTCTGCAACTACCGCATGTGCGATCACTTCAGAAGTCCTTAATGAAGACAGTGGTGGGCCTTGTATAAGCAGAAGGTCCAACTGATATGTTCATGGTCCCTGAAGGGGACACCAGCAGTGCTTAGTCTTTGTTGAAAAAGTACACGTCATTAAAATGTTAAATCAAAAATTTAGAGAAATTTCAACATACATGAGCTTTATGGTAAGGGTTGTTGTCTTTGATTCCTGGCAAATATCTACGCCTTCCCAAAATGGTCTGAACAAATCCATCTCTTCTACAATTCTTCACTATCTCTTTCATGAAATGATTAACCCCTGCAAAGAAAATACAGAAACACTTATTTATAACCAAAGTCCATCCTTAATCTCATTCACTGGTTTCAACGAAGTGAAATATACCAAAACCCCACCATGATTACTTAATACTAATATCACATCATCAATAATTATGCACACAAAATTTCATTCATTTTTTGTAGACTCAGAAAATTAGAAACAAAAAGAACTTTAGAAATGATATAATATAACCCTATCTTTTTTATAAAAAAAACAAGCAAAAAAAGGAAGAAAAAAAATGAAACAAAATTCCCAGAACAGAACAAGTACTAAAACCTACCTGTTTTTATTCCATGATCTTAAGACTATTCCAAGCTACTTTTGAGAGGTTTTTTTTCCCCCCTTTGGTGTATTATTCTTTGATCTTATCATTTCCAGGCTTAAAACATTGCAATGGCTCCTTGTTATCATCTATGTTATGATCCAAATAGAATCTTACTGAAACTAACGCATGAATTATAACACATTTCATTAGGAACATATTTGACTCACTTCTTAAAATTCAAAAAGATAATGTATAGTGTATTATTCAAACACATTCATGCTCCCTAGACCAGCATTCATCCTTTGCAATCTAGGTACATTATTATGTCTTATGGCTCTCCATGATGAATTTTCTACTCCAGGTGAACCAGTCTCTCCACTGCTCATTCCTGTCTCTGAGATCAAGAGGTTTTTCTCTTCTGGAACATTCTTCCTGTATACTCTTTAAAACATAATCAGGTTGAGAGTTTGTGCTGATCTGTCTTTACTCATATGTTCAATCTCTGCTTTCTCATAGCTCTGCTCATCCTATCCAATAAACATTATGTCTCCCCACTGCGCCCCTCATTTGAGGCTGGCTGTTGTGCGGCTGGCACAGGAGTGACACTTGGGGAGATGGTGATATCTGACCACTGCCCAGTGAAGCTGCTGGTGATATCTGACCACTAGCACAAGCATTTCAGAAAGCAGTCAGGGTTTCGTCTTTTTCCCTTTAAGGATTACTATGATATTATTGGGTGAAGAACAACCAAAAAGATGAGACTTAAGAGACTACACCTCTACCTGACTCCTGTAGGAGACCTTCAAACATTCAGAGATTGCAAGCACTGCTTTAAAAAAATTAATTCTGACATGTAATTTACATACAGTAAAAGGCATCTAGTTCCAGCGAACAGTGTGATGCATTTTAACAAATGGATACACCTCTACCACTACAAGATATGAAACATGGCCATCGCTTGCAAAAGTTCCCTTGTGCCACTTTAGAGTTACCCCTCATTATCAGCCTCAGACACTCACTGGTCTGCTTTATGACACTATATATTAGTTTTCATTTCTTGAATTTCATTAAAATTCAACTATACTATATATAGCTGTTTCTTCCTACTTTTCTAAGAAAAAACATTTTCAATAATCATCAATATTGTAGTGAGTATCAGTATGTAATTCCTTTCCTTGGTCAGTAGCACAGGTAGTCCCCGACTTACAACATATTCCATATTCGATATGACGAACCGTACTTACGACCATCCTTTTTTTTTTTTTTTTTTTTTACATCTTATTGTTAGTGATTTTGCAGTGAAAGGATTAGCTGGTGTTTTTTCTAAACTAAATCACGGGCTTTGGTTGCTTGAAAACATGAACCCAAATGCTGATTGTTTTGCTAAAGTCGATAGGCAAATTAGGAAAGCAGTGAGATGTTATCATGAAATATATGAAGAAAAAAAGAAAAGGACCATACAGACAACTCTCACTAGTTTTCTGACCAGAAACGCCATCCTCATTCCCAGGGATAATCCAGATGATCTAGAACCTTCCACAAGTGGAGTTATCACTACAACTAACAAAATGCCAACATTACCCAACTCTTCATTGTCAGAGTAGATTTTCATGATTTCTGTATTTTTTCATGTATCAATGTATGTATTAAAATATATCTGTAAGTTTATATGTAATGTTTCCAACCCCCAAAGACAAATAAAGATGGGGTTTATAAAGATACTGATAATAAAAGGCACAATGAAAACTAAAAAAAAAAATAATTAGGGATTCGACATACATTAGAGCTGACTTAGGATGGAGTTGTCAGAATGGAACTCCGTCAGAAGTCGAGGTCTGCCTGTATTCCACTGCAGACATATACCAAAGTTTGTTTATCCTTTCTTCGCTGATGGACATTTGGACTGTTCCCAGTATTGGGCTGTTACAAATAAAGCTGCTGTAATGTTCATGTATAGGTCTTTCTTTGAACGTATATTCTTATTTTTCTTGGGTGAATGCCTGATAGCAGAATTGCAAGGTCATATGGTTAAGTGTATGTTTACTTTTTACAAAAGAGCCATGCTATTTTCCAAAATGGTTGTATTATTTTAAAATTCCACCAGCAATGTAAAAGAAGTTAACAATCTTTAATCGTAGCCATTCCAGTGTGTCTGTAGTGGCATCTCTTTGGGGTTTTAATTTGCTTTTCCTTGATGACTACTGATGACAACATTTAAAGTGGTCATTCATATATCTTCTTTCGTGAACTGTCCTTCAAATCTTTAGAACGTTATTTATTGGATTGTTTGCCTTCTTAGTACACCTATTCCTCACTTATCAACTGTCTCATTATCCAATATTTTGCATTTATGACAATAGTAAAAAATCTATTATTTTGCACATTAACGCGTACATCTGTCTGACAGTAACAAACGTGGAGGTGCAAGGCGAGAGTAATGCTGGCTGTGATGGTTAAGGTTATGTGTCAGCTTGGCTAGGCCATGATTCTCAGTGGTTTGGCAGTTATGTAATGTAATTGTGCAGTTATGTAACGATGTAGTCATCCTCCATCTTGTAATCTGATGTGGTCATCCTCTATTGCATAATGCCAATTTCCCATGACGACCTGGTCTTTGGAACCTAACCATGTCAATAAGTGAGGAGCGGGTGTATTGAGTTGTAACAGTTTTTTATACATTCTGGATGTAAGTCCTTTGTTATATAATAGGTACAGCAAATATTTTCTCCCAGTCTATGGCTTGTGTTTAATATTTTCTTAATGGTGTCTTCTATCAATGTTTTTCTTTTATGACTAATTCAGTGTTCTATGTCCTAAAAAGTCTTCAATTTCACAAAGCTTCTCTTCCTTGTTTTATTCTGGAACATTTATAGTTTTAGCTATTACTTTTAAGGCTATGCTCCATATCAAGTTAGTTTTTGTTCTAGTGCTCCCATAACAAATTACCACAAACTATGTGACTTAAGGAGTCTCTGGATGGTGCATATGGTTAACACTCTCAGCTGCTAACCAAAAGGTTGGCAGTTCAAACCTATCTACAGGTGCCTCGAAAGACCTGACAATCTGCTTCCAAAAGTTCACAGCCTTGAAAACCTTATAGAGCACAATTCTACTCTGACACATCTGGGGTCACCACGGGTGGAGTCGATGTGACAGAAACTGGTTATGTGGCTTAAAACAACAGAAATTTACTATCTCACAATTCTAGAGGCTAGAAGTCTGAATTTAGAATGTTGCCAGGGCCATCTCTCTCCAAAGACTCTAGAAGATTCTTTCTTGTCTCCCAGTTTCCGGTAGCCCCAGGCATTCTTTGTTTTAAGGCAACATAACTCCGATCTCTGCCTTTGTCTTCACCCGGCATTCTCCTCTCTATGCCTATCTGTCTCTTCTCCTCTTTTTATAAGAACACCAATCATATTGGATTAAGGACCCACATTACTTTAGTATGATCTCATGTGAACGTAACTAATTGTATCTGCAAAAAAATAATATACAAATAAGGTCACATTCACAGGTACTAGAGGTTAGGACTTGAACATATGTTTTTGGGAGACATAATTTAACCATAACATATGGTGTGAGGTAAGAGTTGAGGATTTTTTTTTTCCATAGCAACGTCAAGTTGTTTTAATACCATTTGTTGAAAACACTATCTTCTGCCCATTGAATTGCCATGGCAACTTTGTTCAAAATCAATTCATCATATATGTGTTGGTCTATTTCTGGACCCTCTATTGTGTTATATTGTTCTCTATGTCTGCTCTTCCACCTATCTTGAGTTCTGTAGTTGTATAATAAGTCTTGAAATCTGGAAGTATAAGTTCTTAATATTATACTTCTTATACAAAAATTATTTTAGCTATTCCAGGACCTTTGAATCTCCATATAAATTTAGAATCAATTTTCTATGTACGAGATTATGTCATGTGGGAATAAAGACAGATTTCTTCTTCCTTTCAAATGTACATACTTTTTTTTCTCTTGTAGTATTGCATTGGTTACTCCAGTACCAATGGGGATTGGTGAGAGGACCAACTATAAAGGGGCATGAAAGAACTTTTTGGGGTGATGGAAAAGCTCGATATCTAGATTGTACTATAGATTATATGACTATATACATTTATCGAAATTCATAGAACTGTACACATAAAAAGAATGAATTTTGTTAGTATATAAATTATATCTCAATAAACTGCCAAAAGCAGTGATAATTTAAGACTGCTCTATAACAGCAATTGTTCTCTCAGTGTTCCTAGTACAGAGATCAATGGTTAATTTTTTTTCAAACTAAAGCTAGCTAAGCTCAAAGCACAGGGACAATTCCAGATTTTACAGGAAAATCTCATTGACACAATAGCATATACATCAACTACATTTTGCTATTCCATCTCCATCCCTACTTTTATGGAAAAAGCATATCTCAGTAAATAATCACAATGAGTAAGATTAATGTTATTTGCCTTTAACAATGCCTGATGAAATTTTTTAAAAGAAATGTTAATAGAAAATTCTATAACGAAATTTTTAAAAAAATTAATTTGGAAAGATGGTTGAAAAGAATGGTATCTAGAAGATAACTAGCCCTTAAGGCTTTTTTTACCTGTGTATCTGGATTTGAAGGAGTCAATATAACAAGCAGCATCATTTTCTTTAATGCCCATCTGCTCTCCTAGAGATTTTGCTCCCATTCCATAAATAATTCCATAGCAAATCTGTGAAAAGGAGTCATCACACTCAGTAAGTAAATTAAAGGTCATAACTACATAAAATGCAGATATTAAAGAGTTCATCAGGATTGAAATTTTTGGTGAACTGTTTATTTCATAGTGAGTCAAAGGAATGATAAGATCTGCTTTTTTGATGGGTTAGATCCATGGAGGTTGATATCCAGCGAATACTTTTTCTGCCTTTTAGCACTAATTTCTGAGGGCCGAGGGGGACAGAGAATGAATAAATATGAATGTGTATGTATGTTTTAAGAAAATAACCCTAGTGATCGCAAAGGGAAGATTTATTTATGACTCTGTCATTTATCCAGCAGTCTTCAGAGCTCTTCAGAGTAGCTTTCTGCTCCTCAAAATATCTCATTAACTTCAACTTAAAGAAGTGCCTAGAAGTCAGGGCAGGGAAGCATTACAAACATTCCTCTACTCTCACATTTGGGGGTTGGAGTGGGGGAGTTGGATACAGTCATGAAAGAGCAGATCTGTTCTTGAAGAACCCAAGGCAGCCCCAGGACTTGGGAATTCAGTTACAATGAAGGGCTAAATCTGGGCCTCATAGGAAAAGTTTAATTCAAAAACCTTTTTCCAGAATGGTTAATCCCCTCTATACTCCTTCTCACCCCTCAAGCAGAACTCTCATCAGCCAGTATCTACTCTCTAGAAAAAATGTAGGGTTTTTTCCTTAAAGAGTAATATATTCCACAGGTGTTTAAAGATCACCAGATGACAGCTGGCTGTCTGCCTAATCATGCCAAAGCAAAGTCTCCCATGGCAGTTGGCAATCCCAGTACAAATACACAGTGATCCCAAACAGCTTTCTGTGTGTCTCATTCTTAAATATTAATGGGCAATCAAGGATCACCAGACATGAAAGAGGACGATTTTAAAATATCTCAAAAGAAAAAGAGAATATAAGAACCAAAACAAACTTAAAATAATCCTCTAATCAGGAGACTCATTAGTGACTTATTCATTTATTCAATAAATACTCATTGAGCATCCAAGTGGTCTCCTCTAGGTGGTAAGGTTATAGCAGTGAAGAAAACAAACAAATTTCCTGCACTCATGGACTGGATTCAAGAAGAAAATACAGCCCTAAAACTAAAATAGGTTGCTGTAAAATAGGAATAATCAGAAAAAAAGGCATAGAATATTATTCCTGGAGGTGCAATACCTGATAAACAAAAGTTATGTCCAAAAAAGAGAGAATAAAGAAATTATCAAAGAAATAAGAAAAATTCTGAGAGCTGAGGATGCAAATCTTCAAAGATTGAAAGAGCCCACTTTATATGTAGCCAAACTAAAAGAAAATCCACATCATGGCAATCACAGTGAAATTTCAAAACACTTAAGGATAAAGAAATTATCTTAAAAGCTTCCACAGAGAAAGAACAGGACAAGCTACAAAGAAAAAATAATCACACAGGCATAAACCCTCTCATGAGCAATCTTGGATGATAGATAATATCGTAACAATGCTCCCCTTCAAGGTTTTCAGGGAAAATAATTTCTAAATATGAAGGTAGAGAGACTACAGTTCAAAAATATTTGCATTTCCCCTTGCCCCCAGCCCACAATCATTGAGAGGAGTAGACTTTCTTGCCCCTTGACTCTGGATTCATTCCTGTGACTTGCTTTTGGTCAATGGGATATTAGCATTTTCTAAGTGGTTGAATAAAAAATGATTGTGCAACTTGGCTTACCTTCTTGCACTTCTCCCTTCACTGTAAGGAGAACATTCTCTGGTGGGCCTACTGGTTAAAGAAGAATGAGAGATCTGCAGAGCAAACCTGGATCCTACCTACAGCTTGGAGCCATGCCCAGCTGAGCTAGATGAGAAGAGCTGCACAGCTGACCCATTTGTATTTAAGAAATAAATGATTATCATTTTATCTCACTGAAAGTCTTTTTAGTTATTTCCCATGCAGCATCCTGGAGTAGGAACTATATGGTCCCAATGCAATGGTCCAAGGGCAGCATCATGTTTCATAGCTGGATTAGCTAACCAAAGGCCTCAAAAAGCTATCAATTATTAATTATAATCCACAGCTCAGGAATATCTATTTTTTTAACAAATATTTAGAGATGACCCTCTATACAAAGTATCATGGCTCAGTGCTGTGGGAAAAGATAAAGACAAAAATATGGACCCTTAACTTATAGACTAAAAAAAGAGATTTAAAAAATATACACATAAATCACCACCACCACCACTTATCTACCACCTTCAAATAAGCATCTACTGTGTACCAAGCACTGTAATTAGACATATTATGGTTTTAAATGTATATGGCTTGCTGAAACTAAGTGGACTCAAGACCTCTGTCTGTCTGGTTCTTTCTACTGCTTCCGTGAAGGAAAGTATAATGAGTACCATGAGAAAGGCTCAGACGAACGTGGCTGGAAAGATTCAAAGATGGAGTAATCATTCCTCAACTGCAAGTAGTCAGGACAATTTTTAAAGTTTTTTGAATCATTAAAATTCTTCTTCATTTACAGTAAGTATGTTCACAAAGATCACCTGCTTTGCTTGTTGCCTCAGATCTTCCCCAACAGACTCTGGCTCAATCATTTTCCATTCTGCTGCAATGCTTCTGAAAACATCTGCTCCAGTGTTTAATACTTGAATGAGACGATGATCATGAGATAAATGAGCCAAGATCCTCAGTTCAAGTTGAGAATAATCAGCAGCCAATATTACACCACCTAAAGCAGAAATCATTTCAGAAAAGCTGGTACCAAGATATATTCTAGTCCTATGTAAGAAATTAAGCAGGACAGCAGAAATTTAGTTCTAAAATAAAACTTTGAGATCATGTATTCAAAAGTTAAAACCTTGCTCTTAATTATGTGCAATTCATTCTGTAACTTCTATTTTTTTCCATTGAGCTTTCAAGCATGTGTAACATGTATAAGGCTACCTGTGACATCTGCCCCTCACCCACTGTGGTAGCGCCTTCCTCAGTGTTCCCTCAGCACCTGGTTCATACTCTAAAGTGAGTATTTCATGTCTCTCCCACCTACCACTGAGTCTTTTAGGAATGGGAGACTGAATTTTCCTTTGCACCTACAGAAAACCTTGCACAGCTCCTGGTATATGATAGACCTTTAATAAATGGTTGTTGATGAATAAGTAGGTTAATTAATGAATGAGAAACTGGATTCTAATGTGTATACATTTTAAGTGGGCCAGAGAGATAAGTATGCTCTTCTTTGACAATAACAAAGACATGCAATGAAAACGTCACATGGTCAATAGTGAAGCGTTATTAAGAGGAGTAGGATATTTTACCTGTGGATTAGAAAAAACTGGATTATATGTGCATGGCAAAAACAAAAGTTGGCTTAAAAAAAAAGTAGGAAAATATTTGTAACTGATATCACAAAGGACTCACACCATATTATAAAAAAGAGCTGCAACATGAGTCAAAATTGACTCGATGTCAATGGGTTTTTTTTTTTTTTGGTACAAATCAAGAACAAAACAAAATATAAACAAGTAATTCACAGAAACGTAAAAACAAAACAACCTTAAATGGACCAAAGAATGCTCAGCTTCGTTCATTATAAGAGAAATGAAAATTAAAACTATAACAAGAAACAATGTTTCCCAACTTACACTGCAAAAATCCAAAAGTTGGGCAACACAGTGTGTGACAAAGCTGCAGAGAAAGAAACACTCTCAAATACCGCTAATGGGATTGTGAAATGGTGAACCCCATTAGACAGCAATTTGGCAATCTCTATCAAAATTAAAAAGCTTTTGACACCACTGTTATAAGAACTCAAGAAAAGGTTTATATACAGAAAAAAAGTATTCCTTGATGGTTACGAGGGTGGGGAGGGAGTGGAAGGAGAAATCACTAACTAGGCAGTAGACAAGTATAACTTTGGTGGAGGGGAAGTCAGCACAACTTGACCAAAGCAAAGGTATACATGTTTCCTAGACAAATCCAAACAACTTGAGGGACCGAGTTGCTGGGGCTAGGGGCTGGGGAACATAGTTTCAGGGCACATCTAGGTCAATCGGCATAACCTAGTTCACAGAGAAAATGTTCTATATCCTAGTTTGGTGAGTAGCACCCGGGGTCTTAAAAGCTTGTGCACAGCCATCTAATGATACATCTATTGGTTCCATCCCATCCAGAGCAAAGGAGAACAAAGAAAACCAAAAACACAAGGAAAATATTAGCCCAAAGGATTAAAGAACCACATGAACCAGAGCCTCCAACAACCTGAGCCCAAAAGAACTCGATGGTGTCCAGTTACCACCACCGACCGCTCTGACACGGAACACAACAGAGAGTCCTGGACAGAGCAGGAGAAAAATGTAGAACTAAATTTAAATTCACAAAAAAAGACCAGATTTACTGGTCTAACAGAGACTGGAGGAAGTCACAAGACTACGGCCCCCAGACACTCTGCTAACTCAGAACTGAAACCACTCCTAGAGCCCACTTTTCAGACAAAGATTAGACAGGCTATAAAACAAACAATAACATGCGTGAGAAACATGCTTCTTAGCCAATCAAATATATGAAAACAAATGGGCAACTCCCACCCAAAAGCAAGACAAGAAGGCAGGAAGGGACAGGAACTGGATGAATGGACATAGGGAACCCAGGGTGGATAGGGGGATAGTGCTGTCACATTGTGGGGATTGCAACCAATGTCACAAAACAATATGTGTATAAATTTTTGAACAAGAAACTAACTTAAGCTGTAAACTTTCACCTAAAGCACAATAAAATTTTTTTTTAAAAATTAAAAAGGTTTTCATTCTGTGATTCAGCAAACAAACCCACAAATTACCCAAACACAGATTAAACTATCTTGTGTTCAAATTTCTCTACTAATAGGCAGAAGTCTCCAGAATAAGCACATTAAGTGAAGAAAGCAAGGTGCACAACAGTTTATATAGAACGTGGATTTTTGTATAAGAACAGGAAGAGTACATATTCACATTTGCTTTATCTGCATAAAGAAATACTGGCAGGATATATAAGAAACTCATATATGTAGCTGTCTATAAGAGTTGAAGGTAATGGGGTAGATAGGGCAGGGAAGAAAGCAAAGCTTCTAAGTATATACCTTTTGGGTCACCAGGAGTCAGAATCAACTCGACATCAACTGGTATATCCTTTAGATTTCTGAACCTTGTGAATGTAATGTATTCAAAATATATAAATACTAATTTAAAATAAAAGACTGCTAATTTAAAATAAATGACCATCACTTTTATGGCCCTTCTGTCATAAAAAAAAATGATAAAACTGGACAAAATATATGAAACAGCTGTTTCAGATGTTGGACAACAGGCAATGCAAGACTGTAATCACTGAGTGAAGGGGGTGAAATGAGTTGATCCATACAATTGCCTCAGGTTTCTGAATGGAGACACTTTCCAGAATGCAATGCAGAGAAGGAAAGCTGAAACAAAGCCTTATGTTCTTTCTGAACTGAGAAAATAGACTAGAGGTTGGGCCGATGGAGACAGCTAGAATATGTGAGAACGTGGAAAGAAAGGAGCTGTGCATAAAAGGAGCATCAGAAATATGCACAGGGATCCTTTTGGATTTATGCCAAATACTAAGCTGTGCACGTGCATGGAGAAAGTTCAGGGCACCCAGCAAAGAACAAACACTCAAGAAATAACTATCTCCAAAGAAAGACAACCATTGCATAGCTGTCAGCTGAACAAATACTTGACCTTTCACAGTGATGAGAAATGTTCAGGCTCTGAGCAGACTGAGTGGAGAGACCTTGCTGAACATTTTGAGCATCAAGTAGAGACTCCAGAAAGGCCACACTTTACAAACAAGGTTAATGGAAGCCCTAGAGTAAAGGCTACTCTAGACATATCCTAACAAAGCTTAAAAGAAGCCTCAAATGATCAAGCTGATGTGTAAGCAAATTAACTGTCTGCCAGAAAAAAAAACTCTACCCTCTATTAATAAAGGCAACAAAATCCAAAGAGTCAACATAGTAGCAACCATAATGTTTAGCATACAGTAAAAATTACTAGATACATGAAGAGCCAGGAAAATGTAACTTTGACCAGGAGAAAATACAATCAGTAGAAAAATGACCCAGAAATCACAGAGATGGTGGAATTCAAAACAGTGATCATAAATAATGTGTGAGGATTTAAAGAAAAGATGAACATAATGATGAAGCAAATAGTAAATGGCAAAAAAGGAATGAAAAATACACAAAAGAACCAAATGAAAATTCCAGAACTGAAAAATACAATGTAAACTTAATTAGATGATATGACAGCATCTAGAAACTATAGAAGATCCAAAACCAAACCAAGCCTATTGCCGTCAAGTTGATTCTGACTCATAGTGACCCTACAGGACAGAGTAGAACTGCTCCATAGGGTTTCCAAGGAGTGGCTGGTAGACCTGAACTGCTGACCTTTTGGTGAAAAATCCAGTGAATATTAAAATAGGAAATGGAAACTATCCACTGAAGCACAGAACCAAAAAAAGGGGGGAGGGGAGGGTAATAAATAAAAAAAGGAAAATGCCTCAGTAGTCTATAGGACAATACCAAATGTGTATTTGGAGTAACAGGAAAAGAAAAGAGAGACAGGGACAAAAAAAATATTTTTAAAAATAATGGCTGAATATGTTCCAAATTTAATGAAAAATATAAACACATAGATTAAAAAAAGTAAACAATCTCAAGAAATCCAGCAAATTAAAAAATCCAAGAAGCTCAGCATGAAAAATTACACAGAGAAATACACACAAATCAAATTGCTAAAAATAAATAACAAAGAGAAAATCGAAAAAGCATCCAGGGAAAAGACACATCACATTTGGAGAAACAGCAATAAAAATAATGGTGTACTTATTGTTTTGGTAAGAATAAACTGCATTTTAAGTGTTGCATCACGTAAACCATCAGTGTTGCACTACAGTGCAGGCATGGGGCACACACTTTGTATCTAGTATTACCCATAAAAACATCACCAGTCTAATTTTTGTCAATGGACTGATTCAGTATGAATTTGTTTTTTCTGTACACCAGCCCTGGTGGTGCAGTGGTTAAGAGCTCAGCTTCTAACCACAAGATTGGCAGTTTGAATCCACCAGCCGCTCCTTGAAAACCCTATGGGGCAGTTCTACTTTGTCCTATAGGGTCACTATGAGTCGGAATCAACTCGATGGCGATGGGGTTTTTGGGTTATGTAACACAGCAATGTCATTATTGAATAGTTTATGCTGATAGCAGGAGTCACAGTGATACCTCTGCAAATTTTAATTAGTAATAAAACTGAAATGCTGCTGTTGTTGTTAGGTGCCATCAAATCGGTTCTGACTCATAATGACCCTATATACAACAGAACAAAATACTGCCCAGTCCTGTACTATCCTCAATAAATTGAAATACTTATTATTTTAATTATAATATAATTTAATTATTTTCTATTAAAAATAAGTATGAACTAATTTTAAAATTTAAAACAAAGGTATATGAATGATGCAGAATCGAGTGCAGATCCAGAAGCTAATCCTATGATGGAAAGAGTAAAGAAAGAAAAAGAGACTGGAAGAAGCAATGTCACAAACTTCACAAAAGAAGGCAATTGCAGTTTGTTGCAGAGCAAACTAAAAAACCTGTTTGCTTCTCTAGAAAAAAAAAGTTTTAACAGTAATAGAGTGGGCAATATTAGGAGACACTGTCAGCAAGTATATAGTAAATTTGATAAGGCAAAAATGGCAATGTGATTTACATTTTCTGACCAATATCATACAGCATGTATTTAAAGCTCCAAAAAAGAAAAAACAAGTATCTGTGACCTAGCTAGACAGAATATAAGAATTTATTTAGAAACTGAAACTTTTCATAATACAAATCAATAGTGATTTATACATTTTCAAATAAAATCAATATGCAATAGAATTTAGTTTTAATCAACAGTATTATGTAAACTATTTAGTATTAAGCTGCAAAATCAAGAAAAAATTAAAGGTTGCTTTAATATTGATGTACTTAGAATTGCTTTGCAATTTAAGTAATACTACTTTGAATTCAATGTAATAATAATTTAATAATAACAAACTGACATAAGAGTTAGTGAATTTACTTAACTTGGACAGAGGTAGCTTTGAAATGCATATGTTTTTGCTTTAAAATCAAATCAATACTTCTAAAAAAAGATGAACCAGTTTCCTCATATGGATGCAAAAAATAAAATGGTTTTTTGGTACTCAATTCAATTAACGTAAAATTTTAATATTTTAAACAACTTGGGCATGTAAATCTACTCTTATGACTGTCAATTTTATGAACTCTAAATACAGATCAAGTATTTCCAATGAAAATTTAGTGCCTAAACTGAGGTGTACTGTAAAATAGACACCGGATTTAGAAGACAAAATGTGAAAAAATGTAAGATATATCATTAACCATTTTTAAACTGATTATATGTTTAAATGATAATATTTTATAGATTGGGTTAAATAAAAAATAGTATTACAATTAATTTAAACTTTTTCTCCTATTTTAATGTGTGTGGAAGATAGAACTGACTTACCACTGGACTGGAAAAACTTTTTATCTCCATCTCTAAGGACATCTGGCCGTCTAGCTTTTGACTCTTAGCCAAAATAAGGGCAGTGGGGTTTATGATAATTGTTTGAGATCTGAAACTCCCCTGCTGATCCCCAGGTTCAGTTTCTTTACTAATGGTCTGCAGCTGGCCTAACTGATTAAGTCAGCCTGGCTTGATTATATGACCAGAGAAGCATAAAAGGCCTGCTGGGAACTTCTGCCTTGAGCTCTCCTTAAGCCTAGATTTCTTTCTCAAGCCAGAAAGAAACTGAATAAAGATCCTTGTGAGCATGCACATGGGATGTCTCAGACCTAAAATGCCGACCTGTACTTTCTTTTGCCACACTATCTTCTTTCTCTGTAAATAAAAGCCTTATATGAGTATTTTCTGTGGAATCTGGTAAGACCTTTCAAATACTCAAACCGGGAAATATTCACAATGTGGCTACTAGAAAATTTAAATTTATAAATGTACCTCATACTATATTTCTATGGAAAAGCATTGCTTTATATCTAGCCATGTTCCTTCCCATATACATAAAAGGAGAAATCGGGACTTCCGGCAAAATGGCACTCTAGGCAGAAGCACCATGCTGTCCCTCCACAGCAAAGATCTGAAAAACTAAGCCAAACAGAGAAAACAGCAATCCTGAAACCCTAAAACATCAAATGAAGAGATAAAGAACTCAGCCAAGCACCAAATGGAGTGAGAAAGCTGACAGAGAACGGAGAGCGAGGAGAGATTCATGCAGAGGTCCCCTATCAGCTAATGCAGCATGGATCCGCCATCTTGGACTCCTATTGGAGACCAGCAAACGGGGTACGAGAAAGCAGCTTCACAGAGCTTCCAGCGAGAGACAAAACAACCGGTAATTTATGATATACACTTTCCCACCCCCCACCCTTCTTCACCCCCACTGGGCCTCCTCTGCTTCATGCGGCCACAGTCTCCTGTTCGGGAAGCACCGGCTGCTTGGATTCCACCCGCCCGCACTGGCCAGCTCTCTGAGTGCAATTTGTTGGCTGCTGGTGTTGCCTTTTTTCTGCTTCTTTTGATTTCTTCCTTACGTCTCACCACCTCCCCCTCCTTTTGCTCAAATACCTGGCTCCGAACGCCATCTTTGCTTCTTCCTGAGGGGCTGCGGAGCTCCGGTAATTTGCGATATATGCTTTCCCACCCCCCACCCTTCTTCATCCCCACTCGGCCTCCTCTGCTTCCCACGGCCACAGTCTCTTGTCTGGGAAGCACCGGCTGCTTGGACTCTACCCGCCCACGCTGGCTGGCTCTCTGAGTACCATTTGTTGGCTGCTGGTATTGTTTTTTTTCCGCTTCTTTTGATTTCTTCCTTACCTCTCACCACCTCCCCCTCCTTTTGCTCAAATACCTGGCTCCGAACGCCATCTTTGCTTCTTCCTGAGGGGCTGCGGAGCTCCGTTTGAGCGTGGAACTGCTTCCCAGTCTGGGCTGCCACGCGGGTGGGATCCCAGGGCTCTTATTTGTTTGTTTTGAATTGTTTGTTTGTTTTCTTTTCTTTTTCTTGAGTTGGGAGCCTGTTCTGGCCAGGCGGTGCTGTGTGGCTTGGAACCTACCCCCTCAGCTTATGAAGATGCACAGAGGGATCCCTGAGGGCATTTCTTTTTTTGTGTTTTTTTTTTTCCTTCTGTTTTTTGGGGGGCTTTTCTTGTTCTTTTTTTTTTTTAATTTGTTTTGTTTTCTTTTCCCTCTTTTTCCCTTTTTATC